TAAAAATCAACAAAATACCTACTGCCCTTAAGAAATTATTTTTTTTATAATTCTCATTAGGTATATTTCTAGCAAAGCAAAGTTGTTTTTTGATAAGTAGGACCTACGTATAACTGTCTTTTCTGAAAAATCTACGACAACTTTAAGGAACCTTATTTGTAACTATTCACATCATGATCAGAATATTATATTATTATTTAAAGAAGAGGTATATTTTTATTGTTAGTAAAGTATTATTGAATTAAAATAGGTAGGTACATTATGGAATGTGTTCCTGAGTTATTTTTCAATAAGGAAGTATGAATGCCTTTCCGAAAAAAAATTACAACTTAGGTAGGTACGTACAATTTTTCCACTAAACTCATTACCACAAAATAAACTTCATAAATCCACGTATAGGTGATCAAACACAATCGTTTGTTTATTGAGACACGTAAAAGCAAAATGTAATAGCTGGTAGTGACGTGAAGCAAAAAACCTAGTCAAAAAGCAATTCATTACAGGAAGAACGGAGGCGTTCAGTCAATCCGTCATATGAGTTTTTTTTAAGAGACACTTCTGTATGAAATACATTTTTTTACATAGATAATCATGGGTCCGACCATAAAGTGATATAGAGGCGGCGGCGTTACCTATTCAAACTGATCAGGCTAATGCCAAACTAGAATATATTACTAAACTATTACTCTATGGGTCCGACACAATAGTGGTCATCTTTTGTAGAGGGCATACCCATACGTACCTATGAATTTCTAATTTCTAATAATTTTCAAACGTTTGTGATTTGGTGAAAATGCTTACTTTGTCGCGTGTGCCTGCGCTTCATGTTATTATGACGGCAGTGGTGTCCGGCGTAGGAGGATCGATTCTCAGGGTCGATGGCGGATTCGGCGGTTGGCGAGTGACGACAGTACAACACTTCGACAATCAATAATTGCGTATCAAAAAACGTGACCACGGCTACGAAATGTACCGTGTGTGGTGTGAGTACGCGTGCGGCGCAGTGCAATACGGCTCGGACAGTGCGACGGCTTTGCAGTATACGGTGATATTGATATTGTTGTTAAAATAATAAAAACAAGTAACAATTAATCAAACAAGATGGGTTATGTTGTTCTATGGTAGTTATATGTATACAAAATTAATAACACGATCACAGATCAAATAAAATTTAACACGTTGAGTGCCTCGTAGACCGTAGTGGCGTAGTATTTGGCGCGCGTTGCCCGAGAATCCGCGCGAAATCGGTTCCGTAATTACGTCGGTCGACTATGTGTCGACGTCGGCCCCCAGAGCAATACCTACCGTGGTTTTTTTCAAAATACCTAATTATTATTATTATTATTATTTAGTATTTGAATTACGTATACAATATATAGATAACCGCGAACACTTCAGCGTACTGAACGTGACTAATATACGTGTACCAATAATAAATTATAGCTCTAGTAATGAATAGTATGCAGGTAAACAAAATAATAATATAATGATGTAAATTCCTTGAATTATTTTCGTTTATAAATCATAATAATACATATATATATATATATTTATAATATAATAAAAATAGTTAATTACTTTTCAACCGTATATTATAAGAATAATAAATATAGGTATATACTATATAATTATGTATACAATTGTCGTGGTCGCCGTCATCGACGATTTTCTGGGAAAAATAACCATTCTTTGCTAAAAATAAACGAAAATAAAATCCGAATACACCGTTGAAAAGAAGACATTTCACTGAATAACCACGTATAAAAACGGAAGAATTGCTCTGATAACCGAGTAAATTATAAGGCCATAAAGATGCCTATACACATTGTCGACTACCCGTCGACCGCGGCCTCTGAGGCAACGCCACTGATGTCGACTACCCGTCGACCGCGGCACTCAACGTGTTAATAAGATTTAATAATACAATCTGTGATATGAATGATGGTGAACAGAAAACGCGTATACCACCGCATAGAGTACCTAGTGACTAGTCTTACTCTATGGCAGGGGTCTCCAAACTACGGCCCGCGGGCCGGATACGGCCCGCCAACAAGTTTTAACCGGCCCGTGGCCCGCATATGTAAATATAGATAAAAAAATTATTTCAAAAATGTATTTATATTATATAATATTTATACCTATTTATTTTTATTTAAGTATATTGTAAAGTAAACAATATTTTATACAAAAATATAAAGTAAACATATTATTTATATAGGTAGGTACCTATATTATCATAAAATTAAAAATTATATGTGTTAATAAGCTTTTGGCCCGCTAAGAGCATTTGATTTTTTTTGTGGCCCTTGAATAAAAAAGTTTGGAGACCCCTGCTCTATGGTATACCATCTAGACAGAACACATGGTTAGGTTTGCGCTTGTCGTGTGTACGGTCGTAGAACATAAAATTCTATGGTACGGTTTAAGATGGTTGTAGGACACTTTGTATGGTCACCTAGAAAAAATTAAAACCGCTTAACCGCGGACAGTTTGTACTATTTTAGGTAGTAACAACCGTCAATATGGTGGACAGTTTGTACTATTTCAAATAACAATACAATGTATATGGCGGACAGTTTGTACTATTTGAGGTAGGTACCTAGATATAAGTGTGTATTTTTCAAATGAAAAAACAAAGATACAAGTGCGTATATATAGTACCTATACCACATTATCACATAATTTGTTATTACAAAACCCATGTAGTTAACAGACATAAATAATAATAATAATAATAATAATATTTAAAAATTAAAAGTATGGCAAATTATTTCAAGTAATTGTGTACTTGTAATTATTTTATTTTCGTGCTGTGTACAGGCTTCGTGGATAGGTTTTTGTGTATTTTGGTTTTTTTTTTGTGAAGGTTTGTAGTCATGGGCGCCCCATGGTTAGGTTAGGTTAACTGAGCACCCCATGAAATAAATAAAACATATAAATATTTAATACGTTAATATTATACATTTATAATACATGTAGAAATGGTAATTTTCAAATAATATATGTTTTGGGTTTTTTTGTTATTTTGGTCGTGCCGCCGACGACGACTGAGACGATAACGATATTATATATTTTAGTTACCTACCTACTCTGTAGAGCACTAAAGCACAGAATAGATTAAATTTAATCTATTTTGTGACTAAAGTATATACTTAAGTGTATTTATAAAGTGTATTTTTTTTATAGACCGTAGTAATTTGTCTGCGTTCGGTCAGCGCGTCAGTCCGTCGTAGTGTAAAGTGTTGTACCTTGTACTGTTTATAATCTTAACTAACCTAACTTTATAGTAGATCCTCAAAAAATAAACACATCTATTATAATTGAATACTATGGTTCTGATTTCGATGGGACAAAATTAGAATTGCATCGCAATATTATGTTAGATGTCGCTAAACCAAAAAAATTTAATATAATATCATCAGTGTCAGACGCAATTGATTTTTTAAAACAAGAAGTGTACTTACAAGATTTGGTACGAGAAATTCTAAAATTAATTCAAATTATGTTAACCGTACCAGTTTCGTCGTGTACTGCTAAGCGTCCTTTTTCTGCTCTTCGGCGTTTAAAAACATTTTTAAGGTCAACAATGACGCAAACACGGCTTAATGATGTAGCATTATTAAATGTACATAAATAAGAAGAAATAAATATTGAAAATATTGCTAACAAATTTATAAAGACCACCAAAGTGAGACTATTTTAAAGTAGCTTAACAAATTTCAAAGGTATTTTCCTTTGAAATTTGTTAAGCTACTTTAATTCATTATTAGAAATTTTTGATTACCTATTTGTATATAAGTTATAATTTATTTGTCTTACGCTGTAAAAATTTAGAAAAATAAAGTCAATAAAAGAGGAACCAATTTGTTTAATTTAACACTGTTGATTTTTTTTTTTTTCGATTAGGTACAAGTTAAATAATTTAGGATTTTAGGCACCCCATGAAAATTGGAAAACCTGGCGCCCATGTTTGTAGTAACTCTATTCGCGATCTAAAGTTTTGAGCAAATCAATTTTATCTTATCCCCCGACTATGTTTCCCGGTTTATTTATATCGTACAAAGTGTCCGCGATTGATTTTTATCAATTTATTTTCACCGCACAAAGTGTCCGCGGTATGCAACTCAAACAATAGATAGTACAAAGTGTCCGTTTACCTTTAAGATAGAATCTATCTTTTTTACCCATAGACATATTCCATGATATCTAATTGTTTTCGCTTATGATTTCCTATACTCTATCTTTTTCATGTACGTGTATAATATCTTTGATCTCTTTCTATTTTCTAACAATGTTTGTCTCACGGTGACATGGGCTGGGTGTGTGGGAGGCGCAGTCCATTTATTAATGTGTCCATGATTTTACCTTATATCTTAAACCGTGGTACGTGTGTAGATCATATTCATAGATAATAGATATGGTACGCGGCAACTCTGCGCTTTTGGGCGTTTTTCAATATTATTATTTATCATCCGAAATGTACCTAATATTCAGCGGCCGCGAATACAATATAATATACAGTGTTGGGATTATCTAGATAAAAAACCGTATTATCTTTATCTTATTTAGATAAATACATATAATTATTTACTCAATGAAATAAACCGTTGCAAATTATCTTAAAAAATTATCTAGGATAAACAAATATCTTATCTAGATATTTAGATAAATTATTCGAGTTACTATATTATACTTTTCAGTTTTAATGAAATTAAAAGATGAAAAATATTAAAAATCCTTACTCACAGTTTTTTTTTTATAAGCATTTAAAGTTCACAAATTGATAAAATATGGAAAAATCACGAAAATTAGCAAATTATTTTGAGTTAAAAAATCGTAAAAATTTTTATTTTTAAATCTAAGATTTTAAAATGTAATACAAGATTCCTTATAAGATTATCTACCTTTATCAAAAAAAAATGTCTATGAGAAAGTCAAATTAAATTTTTATGAGCGTTTGAAATTCAAATTTTTACAACATTGGATATTCACTCGATTTCTCATGTAGCGATTTCCTTATTTTGTTGTAATTCAAAAACGAATAACTGTAGATACATGAAAATCTCCTTGAATGTTTAAATTAGCATTTCCTATACACCATACAATTTTGAAAATATTTTGACTCTTTTTGAGCTGTTTATGGACATTTACAGCTTTCAATTTTTTTTAGTTTTTTTTTCTATAAATATCAATAAAGTTTTATCTGTTGGGCCAAAAGTGTAAAAATTTAATACAAGGCTCCTGATATATTGTTACAATAACAGTTGAAAAATATTAAAAATACATAGGCACAATTTTTTTTTATAAGCATTTAAAGATCAAATTTTGACAAAATTAATCAAAATCTCGAAAATTATCAATCATTGTAATTAATAAATTATAAAATGTTCAGTTTTTATAGCTAAGGATTGCAAATTTAAAACAAAGGTTCTCATAAATAATTCATACTGTAACCAAAAAATCTAAAAAATATATGAACACAGTTATTTTTTACAGACATTTTAAATTCAAATTTGGACGAAATTACATATTAAAAAACCTTGAATAACTATTTTAGTTATTTTGTTTTGGTTGAATTACATTATTAAAGGGTACTTGAATTTCTATAGTGTACTATTATATATCTATGATAGTATCACGGTTTTTGTTGATGTATAACGCGTTATAAGTACCTAATGTATATTGTGATATGGTTAATTTGGAATTTATTATAGGTACTTATTATAGGTCAATTTTTTGTTTAATACTATAGATATGTATATAATATGTCTTATACATAGACTGACATACCGTCACCGCTCAGAATCGTTTTTCTTATACAATGATATTATATCATTGAATTCAAATTTAATACCATCCATTATACAGTGACCCACTTGTAACCTACTGTACAGCAGAGCGACATCCACTTACCCACC